CCACAGTGCGGAACGAGATCAAAACCCTAGTTCTTCGCACGACGTCACCTAAAAATATTATGTGAGCAGTGTAAGAGTTTCGGCCAGGTGAGAGGAGAGAAGGCGGTAACGAGATTTACATTTGCAGCCCGCGTAGATTAATATGCCACGGGTCAGACTAAACAGGGGTGGAGGATTCAGAAGGAAGCGCGAAAGTTGAACATAATGATCTCGAACGGCAATCGAAAAAAAGATGATTACCAAAGGGCGAGGATGAAAAAAGGTTGTGGATCATCTTTCATATGACCCAACCCCGGGTGGAACGGGGGTCTTCTGTATACAATTTAGTCGCTGTTTTAGAGATGGCAGACGCAGCTGTTCGCCATCAGGTCCTGTAAGGTACATGTAAGAGAGGATATTTAGTATTCGAGCGGGACGTTTAGATGAGGAGAGCGGCGTACAAAGCAATGGGTCGGTATACAAGGGAAAAGTACCGGAGAACAGACAGGAAAAGAGCATTCCGATCTATGCGGAGACCTGAGTCAAACGAAGGACTTCTGCGGAAAAATTAGTGGTCGACCGAGCACAGAGATGCAGATGCGGCGTCACATGGCTTGATGGATCTAGAAAATGCACGGGCAGTGAGGGTCCAGGAAGCTGTGAACCAGCCGGAGTACGAAGATGAGAGCTGGAATAAGGCGATATTGATATGCACAGGATTGGTGATACACTGGATACAGAGACGCAGACGAGATTTAGGCAAAGGGACGCCACGGAAGAGGACATAGCGAGTACGAGTCAAAGCCGTACAATTGAAGGAGTTGCGTCGAAGGGGAAGCACACGGCCGAGGTTGATGTAGGTACTCGTTGGAGTGGGATTTCGAGGGATAAATCCAGAGAACCACAGTGCGCGCGAGGGTGAGAGGTTGGTCTGGAATAGAGTGAAGTCCGTAACAGATATTCAGGGAATGGGCCGGGGGGTTGAGTTCGGAAACCTTCTAGTTGAGGCGTAGATCTTATACGTACAGTAATAGGCGGAAATTCAAAGCTGAGCGAAACTTGCATGAGACTTGAGTGAGATACAACGGGCGAGATATTGGATGAGCCGAGACCCGACGATCCGCCAGCCAGAGCTCCTTCCTGGCAGTGAAAACGATGCTAGTACTCAGAGGTATGCAGCATCTTTCCAGAGGATAGCAGTACGGAGGGATCAAGCAGTCAGAATGGCGCATCGTGGCAAAGAGGAGAGGTAGCCGATTTGATTGCCGGTCGACGGAGCTCGCAGCCAAATGCTGAGGAGGAGGAGGAGCGAGCGAGTGCGGCGCGAAGCGCCGCACGAGCGAGCGACGACGACGACGACCTGGACGATGTACTGGAGAGATACTTGAGGCGAGGTAGCCGATTTGATTGCCGGTCGACGGAGCTCGCAGCCAAATGCTGCCACATAGGCTCCCTGCCTCTTGCTTCAATGCTTGCACCTCAACGCGATCCTTTGCGCCACTCCGCTGAAGAACATCTCGCTGCCGCCCTAAGGAAGTTCGTTATTTTGACGCCATGTCCCCCTCGACCCATTTTCCCTTCAAGTTCCCCTTCGAATCTCCTGGTACAAACCGTCAGTGATTACCGGATTGGACGCCTTCCACAGGTGAGCAGAAGTCCGGTCCTGACATCCCTCATCATCTGCGGCCTCGTCGCCCCGATCACACATGCCCCGCTCTTCCATCCGGATATCCCCCACTCCGGCTGTCCTTTCCCTCCGTTCTTCTTCCCTCTTCTCTTCCGTCTATCTTTACCAGCATGCACGATGCTAACACCCTCTTTTCACAGATCCCGACCTGTCGTGGGCCGTGCTCCTTTCGGGAAGACCGGCCCTCCACCTCCGACGCCACCTCTTTCTCCGTTAACACCACCCACGACCGCGATGCACATCAGGCACAGCGCACAGCACGAGCATCGCGATGCTGTGCATGAAGGCGCGTCTGAAGCCCAAGCGTAGCACTATGAGGGGATGTGCGGCCTGTACTCAAACATCACTGCACCGCTCGGCGGCTCCGTTGCTCACGCCGGCCAAGGGCACGCTGCGGTGAAAGTGGGTAGTTGTTACGAGTCCTAAAAATTTATTTTTAGAATCGTTCTTTAGGAACTATGACTCCGCAATTGGGCAATTGTTTCGTGGGTGAGTGGCGATCTTTGCCTGTCTGTCGTTTCTTTCTTCCTTTTTTCGATTGTGGATGCGGAACTTTTGGCCTTGCGTGGGAGGAGTGTCGTTCTGCAGGCAGTCGTGCGTCGCGGACCCGCGCGTCCCCCGCATCATTCTTTGCCGCGCTCTACCCGCTGCGTGGGCGTCCCCTCTGGGCTTTATGCCCTTGCCCTTCGATTTTTGTGCAGCATGCTTCGCCTACTGCACTTCTTCATGTCGAGCTCGCACATGTCGGCGAATCGATCCTGCTGCGAGAGGGCGGAGTGGTACTTTAGCTGTCTCACGAAGAGGCGAGGCATACATTCTCCACTCCCCGCGCCTTCCCCCATCGTTGTCCGTCGATCGCTGGAAGGGGTGTCGAACGAATGAGTCTGTGCGTACTCCGACTGAACTCGCATTTCACTTCCCGTTCATTACTATTACCTCTATACACGCCTATACGATCGAAAGCCGGAAACCAGCGGCGTACTTGGCGCCTGGAATCCAGCGTGCCATCAGGGTCTATGATCTGGATCAACCAATCACCGCTTGTGATCCAGATCATAGACCCTGATGGCACGCTGGATTCCAGGCGCCAAGTACGCCGCTGGTTTCTGGCTTTCGATCGTATAGGTGTGTATCTTCCTGTGCACTTAGTGTTGCCAATGTCCGGTTCGGTCCGGTTCTTTGCCAAAATTTCCGAACCCCGAACCTGACCTCAGGTCCGGTTCGGTCTGGGGTTCAGGACAGGTTCGAACCTTTTTGAACCTGAAAAAGATTCCCACGCACCAGGAGCCAATTCCGTGGCCCGGGGAGCCTTTGAATGCTGTATATTGTATGTTTCATCTCAGCAGAACAGCACATTTGGATGACTGTGTGGGGACAGACATCCATACATCACATTCAATAATTTCTGTCCTCTCTGATCATCCATCAAATCCACCGCAACAATCATATTTGACTGTAAAAATGTATTGCAGCTCACTGTGCACACAAGAGACTGTGGTCGGTTGGATTCCAACTCAAATAATCACAGTTCTGATGCATTTAGTGCATTCAAATAGGCTGATTTACCCATCGGTTTGAACATGTTCGCACCGGTTCGGCAAAATCAAGAATCTGCTGAACCCCGAACCGAACATGGGGTCCGGTTCGGGTTCGGTTCAGGTTCGACATCGGTTCAGAACCGAACACCGGCAACACTACGTGCACTATATTATATAAACACGAGCCCAATACCCTCCATGAACCACCCGCATGATTGTGGGGTGCTCTTGGCTGCTCCTCGTTCTGGTGATGTTCGTCGTCGTCGGGATCTGGTCGGGATGTGCGTGTGCCTTGCGATGATGATGTTTCGACTTGTCTTTGATCGCCGTTATTTTTTACCGGCACGGGTTGAGATTCCCCCCGTTGTAGCTAAGCTCTCTCCTCGTATTCCACGTCGTCTTCTCTTTTGCTGCGAACAAATAATCTTTGTTACGCCCTCTTTTTCCTTATGCAGCAACCTCTTGGCCCGAGCAAATTCCTTCACTACAGGTGCGGAAACGCCATCGGCGTCCCTGCCAGTTGCTGTCTCATCTTCCGCCAGCAGACAATTCTCATCCGGCGGAGCATTTCCACCACTAGGCGGGCACTTTCTAGTTGGAGGTCCAGATTTCATTCTCCCCGCCTCGCGCCCGTTGCGCATATTTCTCTCTACCATTCTTTTCTATCCTTCCATCCCGAGATCTCTCTTGTCCTCTCGTATCGTACGTGTTATGTAGCACCTACTTTGCCCACCCGTACACACTACGTACATCACAGCCTAATTCGAAGCGAACCATGTTACCCTCAATTCATCCTCGACATGGCTATTCATAGGGTTCTCCAATGAGACTCGCGCCGTCGTAATCACGGAGGACAATGACAATGTTGATGTTGCCTGCGAGAAATCTTCACCAACTGCAATTCGGATACCGCGGAGATTAAACTAAGATCGTGATGAACAAGGTCAGGGGAGTCTTACTTAACGATGCCGAGCCGAACGAGATACCTGGACACTGCGCTGAGCTAATAGATGCATCGCGAGCAGGTGCGTTCCGGAATCAGGTGGCGAGCAGCGTGGATTCGAGGAAAAGCTTCCGAGCAGCTGGGTATCATGCAGAGCCTCGGTATTGACAGAGAGAAGGTTCCAAAGTGAAGAAACGACACATTTCCAAAGCCAAAAAAAAAAAGAATGAGACTCCTGAGTCGTGTAGAATGACCCGAACCCGAGTCGAACGGGATTCCTGCAAACTGATAGATAAAGCTTCAACGGTAGCAAGTGCGTTCCGGAACACAATCAGGTCTTATTTCAGTATCGAGAAGGGAGTACTCAACTACTGAAAGTTCCGATATGGAGGAGCGCGGGCTGTGTTAATCCAGGAAGAGAACGTGCTCATGCGAGTTGAACCTTGCACGCAAGTTATTGAGTATACGCAATCCACTCCAAGGCACGATGTGGGAAAGAGAGAGTCGATGTCTGGGGGTAGGAAAAAAGCCGAACATGGAGTTAAGCACAACACGACCCGACCCCGAGTCGAATGGGATGCCTGAAAACTCCTAAGCGGTCCAGGAAGCGGAGGCAGGGGCGTGCCGGAACGCATCCGGGTCTTGTTTTCAATGGTGCTTGACGGAAGGTAAGGGAAGAAAAATGAAATTTAAGCAAGCTTCCTGCAGAAAAATATGGAAGTCGGGTAAATCGAGACGGATAATGGGATGAACGTACTTTACCTGTTTGTGCAGTATGAAACCGCACGTTGGAGAATGAATCAGATGAATCGGAGAGCAAATGACAAAAAAGCAGTACATGTTCCATAACAAATGACCCGACCCCGAGTCGAACGGGGGGACCTTCTGCTTGCATTTGGCAGTTGTTTCGACACTACAGGCAGATGCAGTCGTCCGCCACCGGATCTTGTTTCCCTGTAAGATGGGGTCGTAATGGGGATGAGGGGTTTGAATGTCGAGTGCAGGTTGTTGGGAATGCAGAATCTACCGTCAGGATAGACGAGCGCACGGAAATATAGAGTCCAAAAGTCAAAAGATGTAGTCGATGCGCAGAAAACTCCCAAGCGCTCCAGGAAAAATAGGCAGGTGCGTGCTGGGACGCAGTCTGGTCTCGTTTGGGTGGTGAGAAGGATATATTTGAGTGAAGCTGCCAAGGGGTAGAGCAGACTGTTTATCCGGGAAGAGAACTTGAATGTTGCGCGCAAGTTATTGAGGACACACCACCCAGAGGTGCGATTAGGTAAAAGAGAGAGAGAATGGCTGCTGCGCGCGTTCGGGAAGTAAAACAGAGACGGACGGCCCATGACGACCCGACCCCGAGTCGAACGGGGGTCCTGCAAACCTAAAATGTGTCAAGGCAACGTAGGCAGGTGCGTACCATAACGCAATCGGGTCTTGGAAAGGTGCTGGGTGGGTTGATTTGGAGCGAAAGTCAACTGCGAGTGGGATTTGAGAAATAGTGATGTCTTTGGCTTGGCTTGGCTCTCAAACCCTGGCTTTGGCTTGGCTTCATCTGGCTTTGGCTTGAGAATTCTGAAGCCAAAGCCAAAGCCACGGGACGTGGCTTGGCTTGGCCTGGCTTTGACTTAAGCCATGGCTGTAGATCAAAACATTCCCACGGTTTTTGAGATTGGAAAAGGTCAGAAAACTGGTCCTATTTACCTGTGAACCAACTCAAGCATCTGTATATTTATTTAGAGGTGGAAGATATTGATATAAAATTGTGAACATGCACAATCAGGACAGCCTGATGCCCGGGAACTATCAATTCAACCCGATGTGGAACTGTTTAGTAAGTGCTTAATCTACCAGTTGAATATGTTTGAGCTTTCCTGCATTCCTAGTCTCTTCAAAAAATACACGAACCCTTGAATGAATGTTAAAACACTGCTCCTTGTCACAATTGTACCACAAAGTCAAAGCCATGGCTTTCTGGCCTGGCTTTGGCTTCCCAGACCCCAAGCCAAAGCCAAAGCCAACCCCAAGCCACCAGTTTGGCTTGGCTTGGCTTTGCAAAGCCATGGCTTTGGCTTCTTGGCTTTAAGCCAAGCCACAGACATCACTATCAATGAGAAAGTCAAATGGAGATGCAAGGACGTGGTTTCCTGACTCTTGTAATAGCGAGCGAAAGGTGAGTGGAGCAGGCCCGATGGCAATCGAAACCGGCGACAAAAATGCGAAAATAGAACAATTAGGCCCGGGCCCGAGTCGAACGGGATTCCTCCAAACTCAAATGGTAAGAAATCAACGCAGGCAGGTGCGTTCCAGAAACGCACTGAGGTCTGGTTTCAGAACCGTTGATTCGGGTAGGGTGAGTCGCGAGTACGATGAGAAGGAAACCAGTCCAGAGTACTGGATCGAGGAGGCAACAGAGTGGGTCGTGGGGAGTCGAAAACTTCACGAGCGTTGATGAATTAATTGTAGAATTGTGCAGGCGAACGAGGTGCGTACCCAAGTGAGAAGGGGGGAAAAAACTCGAAAATTCTTCAATATGGGCACGCAGGACCCGACCCCGAGTCGAACGGGGACCTTCTGCATGCAGTTTCGTGAAGTTTACATAAGAGAGGGCAGATGCGGCCGTCCGCCACCGGGTCTTGGATTCCCTATAAAGACGGTGCATGTAGAATTCGTGAGTACGCCGCCGGGCCAGGAGGGAGTTTGAATTAGGATCGTGATAAGAAAGGTCTGGAATATCAGGGAGTATGTGTTACCTGGAAGCACGACATAGAATACGGAGAGGGCCAAAGATGCGAGGGTAGCAACACAAAAAACAAAAAGACGGAACACATAGCAAAGCCTACTACGACCCGACCCCTGCAGATTCCAAACGCATCCAGGTAACGTAGGCAGGTGCGTTCCAGAATGCAATCGGGTCTTGGATAGGCTTTGGGTGGGGTGAATTGGAGGGAGTTTTATTTTGAGTGCGCCCCGAAGCTGGGACGAGTCCAAAGCGGGGGAAATGTCAGAGATGCAGAGAAGGCTCCAAGAACGGGACCACAAGAGTCCGAATAGGAGCCAGCAAGCCAAGGTATCGAGGATGTTGAATGAAACACGGCAGCAGGCCCGAACAGAGGACGGCGGTATAACAGGTTTTACTGGACAAAACCCCAATGAGCATGCATGGTCATGGATGGCCATGCATGTTCATGCATGACCATGCATGACCATGCATGAATAGTGGGTGAGCATGAATGGAGCATGCATGACGACCCATGTCAGAGTTTCCATATCATGCAATGCCATCCATGGCCACTGCATGAGCACTTACATATCAAGGACCGACTATCGTGACCATGGATAGCCCATGGATCCCCGCCATTCATGCTACCATGCATGGTCATGAATGGTCATCCATGGCCATTCATGTTGCCATTTACGACACATCATTATTTTTGGAACCATTCCGCATTTGGCAAATCCCGCCATCTAAAATAGGCCAGCGATCTTCTCGGCTTGTTAGTTGAGTCTCCGGGAACATCGATATCACCCTGCCTTTCCCGCGCCTTCGATTTTAGTCACTGCACACGAGTACATGTATATGAAACAGACTTTCTCCGCTCTGCCTAGTATGTCTCTCATGCCCGAGGAATTTTTACGGCAACCAAAGGACTCCAAAGGAGGGTTATATTGCAGTACTGGAAATTCAGATGTTCTGGGACTGAACCAACGGATTATGCTCGTGCAGCTGCTAGTAGTTCAATTGAACTTAAAATAATTTCTGGGCCCCGGCGTTCCTCAGCGGGACCGGCCGCCAACCCATGGTGCTACCTACCTACCAAATGCAGGAATGATGGCAGGCCCAAATGGGATGAGATCATATGAGATCCAAACAAGCAGTTTTAGCATGCATGGCCATCAATGGGAAAACTCAGTGATTTATTTAGGTCCTAGCTCGCCAGGCATGACACATGAGGGGTCGTCCACAGGTGGCCATGGATGGTCATGAATGCCCCATCAATGCTCATGCATGGCCATCCATGACCATCCATGACCATTCATGACCATGCATGATCATGCATGGCCACGGGGGTTTTGTCCAATAACGACCGCCATACGGCGGACGCTTGAGTCAAAGAAGAGGTGAGAGTCGGGAACAACCGCCGATCAGTGATTACTAGTGCTGTCCATAAATACGATACGCCAAAATATATTTTGAATACATTCGAATACATACAGATACGATACGGGCGCAGGACATCCACAAGAATATGAATACGACTGAATATGAATACGATATGATATGGATATAATACGATACGGCCGTCGGCGTATTTCAATATATTCAGTTACGGCCATCACTGTCAATCACGATCGGCCCAGCAGCAATCTTGGCGGCAATTGTGCGTACGACAAGCGGATCAAGCTGCTGCACAGCTGACACCACATCAGCAATCCTCTGAAGTGGTGGAAAGTCAGTTTTATTCTCCACTGTCAAAAAAATGATCCGAGATATCTCTGGCAGGAAAACTCGGGAACTTTAAAATACATGGCACTCCTCGCGCGGGATATCCTTGCCATTCCCAGTGTCAGCATCTCTGTCGAACGCCTCTTTTCAAGCCTAAAACACACTCTGTCTGATGCTCGGGCATCTTGAAGAATATATTTGAATATATTCATATTGTATTCATATTCAGTGGGTTGAATATGAATATGATACACTACAGATACGATACGGGCCCTCCGAGGTGAATACGATACGAATATGAATACGATACGCCATTTGCCGTATCGTATTCGTATTCGGCCAGCACTAGTGATTACCTCGGAGGTCATAGCCAAACATCGGATATGCCTTTCCTCCCGACTCGCCGACTCGGATTCGCGCCTTGCAAAGAAGGAGCTGCCTCCGATGCCCGATTTCAATGTAAATTCGACCGCAACCCGCCTCTACTCTGTTCCGAATCCTGCGAGTCAAATCCACTGGCTGCCGCGTGTCCGTCGACGACTCGAATCCTTTGAAGAGCCTGAGGATACCAAGCCACGGATAGGCTTTTGATGGCGCAATAACATTGCGAAGGTGGTGCATTCGATTTCGTCCTTATCGGTTCTCTCGTTTACACGACTCCAACCGGGCAGTTGTCTCCGTTCTCATACAACTCATTCCGCACCACGGCTCCCGTCGAATGCACGGCTTCGATTATCCGACTACGTCTATCCTCTTAACTTGTCCCTCCTCCATTCATGCCTAGAATTGACTCTGACGTGCCATCCTTATCGCAGGACCCCGATCTTCGAGTCGCGCCGCCCATCCCTTCACGGCCCGAACCAGCTACGCTGGACGCGATGTCCTCGATGTCGTTGTCGTACTCCTTCTCCATCAACAGGCTATACACCCTGTGCTGCTACGCCCTATTGCACGACGCTGTCACGCCTCCACTCGCTCACCACCTCGATGCCAGCCTCGATGCCACCTCTCTTTTCTTTCTTGTGCCTCGGACGAATACAGTAAGAATGGAATGCCTTCGCGGCGCCGAGGCAATCCTGGCTTTCCGGTGTACGTACAGACTTCCGCGTTCCCGCATCTCGCATCCTGCACCGCGCACATGTCGTGCCCTGTCCACCCCCAGCGTCGGCCGCGACATGTACCCCACCCTCCGCTTCCGAATAAATACCCACGCCGCAGCCCGCCCTACCTCCGCCCATGCACCTGGTCATTGCGTCCCCGCGCTCCGACTCTGTCGTGCGTTGCGCTGCCTGCGCGTACGTACGTATCTACGTCGTTGCCTCGACGCCCGCATCCCACAGCGCGCGCTAGCCTTCACTTCCACGCAAGGAGGATAGGATGAGGGGAGGCAGGGGACCGCGGAAATTCCGGAGACGGTCGAAGCAGGCGGAGGGGGCGAGGGGAGACCGGGAAGGTTTGGCGGAGTGGGGAGAGGGAGAAATCGAAGGGAGGAGGCGCACGAA